TTTACTTTCAATGACGCTGAAACCGAATCTGATTCCGATGACAACCAGAGCAATCAGGACGCACAAAGGAGCGTGCAAACTGGAGCAACTGTTGGCTCGGAAACAGGTAAAATGCCCATTGAATCTATTATCATTCCTTACGTAGACAAATACGATTTTTATGCATATTGTAATGGTACTTGTATAATCTCGAAGCTATGCTCGCGAAATTAACCGAAAAGACGTTTTCAATCACTTTCGCTTTGAGCAAAAGTCTTCAGCTCTTCCCAATTCGATTGTCTGTTTTTCACGAACATCATTTATCAAGTGATTCGACCAATACAAAAGACTTTTTGCTTCGTTAACTCGGTAGAGGTCAACTCAGAGCGGAAATAAGTAAAAAGAAGCTTTCCGATCGCGATAGAACTCGTGGAACGACCAATGGATTCGATTACTTTCTGCCTTTTTCTCAGAGCTTCACGCTTATGTGCAGACATCTAAAACCAGTCAAAAGTTATTTCTGAGCTATAATATAAAAAATATATATATATTAGGGTGATATCCAATTTTAATTTTTGTTCACAAAATGTATTTTGCGAGTTGAGGAAAGAGAGGTGGAAATATACGTAACTAATCTCAATAATAATATTTTTATTTATGTAACCTTGTGTTGTATTTTATTCAAGTAAACTGCTATCAATTAAATAATTTATTTGTAGACATTGGTGTTCTATTCTTGGAAGATGAATCTGGGGACTCCTCGGCTCAAGAAGAAGACGGATCTGAGGATGGCGAATCGGACGACCAATCTGATGAATTTAGTTTCAACGATCAGCAACTTGAGCGTCGAAACGTTAATCCTAACTCACGTAACGATCTCACTCCACAAACAATGCAATGGGCCATCAGAAGCCGTGATAATAATCGCTCCTCTGTCCGCGTCCCAACTGGTTCCAATTTAGTTTTTATTGATCCCATGGCGTTGCGTCGCTCTGCTGTGCCAGCCAGCACAGCGGTCAATACGCCAACTGCCGAGTCTCACACAATGGCCACGACTGCAAGCAATTTGGGGCGCGCTTTTGGTATTACTATACGACAAATATCAGAGCTTTTAGCTATTATGTCTTACAATATGACGAACGATATTGAGACCTCATTGAAGATTCGAACTGAGGAAGCGATTGCCGTTCAAGTAAGTATCACATGTATGATGATGATGGACTAATAATTAATAATTTTAATTATTATTCACAGGCTTTTGTTGAAAAAAGATTGAAGCCAACGTGGGACTGGATGTTCACTGTTATGGATGGAACAGAGGCGCAGTTGAAGTTCGGCGCATATTTGACAAACTACACTGATCCAAATCATCCACTGCACCCGCTCAATCTAAGTGCACAAGCAACCACAAGCCAAGCTTCGACTTCAACTTCTTCAAATGTTGGCGTAAATGTAATTGGTGAGTTCAAGTTGAGATTGTAGCTGAAACATTTTATATTAACTATTCGCGTTTGTAGGATCAAGCTCTCGACGTGATTTCTTCACATATTGCCTGTCATTGATGCGCGCGCATACTTCAGAGCATCGAGATGCGCTGCCCGTATTGGATATAACTGCGTTGCGCCACATTTCGTACGTGCTTGATGCATTCGTTTATTATATGCGCAATGATACTAGCTTCTATGATAAAAACGATATATCCGGACGAGTAAACAATTTATCAAACTGTATGGAAACAGATGACACGGATGATGAATTGAGCAACATTGAAAGCTCGAATGCCGATAGGCAATGTTCTGGCAACGCATCGGCTAATACGAATATTCGCAAACACGCATTCTTTACCAGATCTGATTCAACCCTAAGTCTGGGTTGCTCTGCACCGGACGGGTTTGACTTACCACTTGATATGGCCATGCCATTAGCCGACAAACCACACCTTCTGCAGCCAAATTCAAAACGACAGGAACTGTTTGCCAATCTTCCCTTGCACGCAGTTTCTACTGTTAAAAACAACGCAGGCAAAGGTAACACTTCCCATCAGGGATCTATTGACCAACCTCCAACTAGGTTAGGCTTCTCAAATTTTATGAAAGCTGATACGCCATCAAATGAGAATGATGTCAGCCAGCGCATAGCAGAATCTGAAAATAATGTGGAAACTATCGAAGTAAAAGAAGACAGCAGGTCCTATAAGGATGACGACACTGGAGACTCAAATATTTACGTTCAGTTAAAGAAAAAACAGTGCTTGGATGATTCAAAATCACATAAAGGGTCTGAAGGTAAGTTTATTTCTTGTTTTACTTCGGTTAGGCAAACCAAGTTATAATGCCCAATATGAAACTTTCACTTGTGTTCAATAGCTGCTAATTCATACTCTAAAGATCATATGGATTCAGGGGATGTACAAATGATCGATGTTTCAGCGGGACCTAGTACATCAACAGATATTTTAATAACAACTCGTCCAGAAGTAATTATTGCACCAAGCCAAAGTCGCATCAGGGATGAAGTGTCACCAATGCAGAGCTCTTTATCAGTATCAGCAGTTCGTAGTGTTATTGTTCGGGCTGGAACATCAAATCTTAAACTTGAATCAGACGACAATAGCTTACCCGAATGCAAAAACTCACCGGCGACTTCCACACCACACCATCTTAAATGTGATAATTGTCGGGAGAAGTTGCCATCGCAGACAGTAATGTTTCCCATCCGTGGCTCTTTGTTTTACAAGAGTAGTTCTTCAGAGTTGCCATCATGGAACTTCCTGCTGAGTCGGTGGAAATTGGCTCTTGATCTTTTCGGACGTGTTTTCATGGATGACGTGGGCATGGAACACGGATCTGTATTGCCGGAATTGCGAGGTTTCCCAGTGAAGGAAATGCGCTTTAGACGACATATGGAAAAACTGCGCAATGGACAACAGCGAGATTTAGTTCTCTGTAAGCTTGAGCGTAATCGGGAAAGCTTAATAATCCAAACCTTTAAGGAATTAAATGCTCAATTCGGCACACAAAATCGACGAGCTCAGCCGCCCATAACATTTAACAGAGTTAAGGTTACATTTAAGGATGAGCCCGGTGAAGGCTCAGGAGTTGCTCGCAGTTTTTACACTTCCATTTCGGAAGCGTTGCTAGCAAGCGCAAAAATGCCAAATCTCGATTCTGTGCAAGTAGGTGGTACACACAGCAAATATGGAGTACCTTTCTCGAGCATACTACGCAGCCGAACCGTATCCGGTTCAAGTCGTGATCCCCCGACATTGCAGCGACGTGGAACCGGCAGCAAAATATTGTGGCGCACAGCTCGAGAACGAAAAACATTAAATGTAGATGCTAGACCATATACTCCATCATCCAGTGCAGGTAAAAATGCGACCCGTCATCACTTAATGGAATTTCGAAATATATTTTTAAATTCATTGTTTATTTAGATAATAACACTGCTGAGGGCTCGAACGACCATTTATCTGTCCACCTACAACAACTTGGCGAGCGTCTGTATCCCAAGGTAAGTAAATGATTAAGTAACCTGTAAAGCAAATCTATAGTTTAAATATGTTCTTTAGATCCACTCAATAAACTCGGTGCACGCTGCAAAAATAACTGGCATGCTCCTGGAAATACCCACTCCGCAGCTTCTGTCAGTTCTGTCTTCAGATGAGACGCTTAGGCAAAAAGTTAACGAGGCTGTTGAGATAATAAACTTTAAGCTGAAATCGGAAGTAAACATCCAGAGCCAACAGAAAAAATCGCCATCTGCTGCAACTGAACCAATTGAAGACGATAATGAGCCATTATTTTACTCTCCTGGTAAACGTGGCTTTTATACTCCACGACAGGGACTTGCGTCATTTGAACGTATTAATGCATTTAGAAATATTGGCAGGTTAGATCACAATTATTTTTGTATGATATATGGGTTTGTAATCTCTTTATTTTATTCTCTTTTTAGACTTATTGGGCTTTGCCTTTTGCAAAATGAATTGCTCCCACTGTTCCTTCAACGACATGTATTAAAATATTTGCTTGGCCGAAAAATTAAATTTCATGACCTCGCATTTTTTGATCCAGCCTTGTATGAATCATTTAGACAGATCATACAAAATGCCCAAACAAAAGAAGGCGAAGAAACCATTAACCGAATGGAGCTTACGTTTGTGTAAGTATCCAGTGGACCCTAATCTCTAATTAATACAAACGTATTAAAATGATGTGTTTTTATTTACTATAGCATTGATCTGATGAAAGAAGAAGGTTGTGGCAACCGTGAATTAATACCTGGGGGACGTGATATACCCGTAACGTCGAGCAACATATTGGAATATATTAGACGTTATACTGAATATAGACTCATTAAGTCACAAGAGAAGGCTCTTGAGGTTAGGCATACAAAACTCATTCTATTTCTGAACTTATTAACAAAAGTGTTTACAGGCTTTAAAGGATGGTATTTTTGATGTTTTACCGGATAACTGCATGAACAGCTTGACTGCGGAGGATCTACGTTTACTCTTGAATGGTGTCGGAGATATCAATGTTTCAACACTAATATCATATACAACATTTAATGATGAATCGAGTGAAGGGCCTGACAAGCTATTGAAATTTAAAAGATGGTTCTGGAGTATTGTTGAGAAAATGAATACGCTAGAGCGCCAAGATCTGGTATGTATTAGTTAATTATCTTAGAGTAGCATTGCTTAATATACGATTATTCCAGGTATATTTCTGGACAGGATCACCAGCTTTACCAGCTTCTGAGGAAGGGTTCCAGCCCCTGCCATCTGTCACAATTCGACCAGCAGATGACTCTCATCTTCCTACTGCAAACACTTGTATATCCCGACTGTATATTCCTCTATATTCCAGCAAATCAATTTTACGTAGTAAAATGCTGATGGCCATTAAATCCAAAAATTTTGGATTCGTTTAAGCAAATAATTACCAATTCCTGGATTTCGTTGATTTTGCCGTATGTTTGCTTATGCGAATTACTTTTACTCTTTTGGTATTTGATAAAATTTTTAAATATGACTATTCCACATTTGTAACCAACCACACATATGTATGTATCTCCATTCCTTCAATTCGGTTCTGACTTTATAAATATTGCAATAGTTCTGGTTTAAGATAACGTTTTTGAAGAGGAATTCATAAGGTCAGTCATTCCTTCATACAGTTCGACTGGATAACAAACACTAAGGAAATGTTAAAATGAACAAAGATTAAGATGTAGGAGTTAGGTCAAGTTTGCTTTTATTATTACATTTATTTAAATGTAGGAAATGTAATAAACTACAATATATAAATATGTATATTAACCAGGGAATAAAACTATAATGGTAACCTAAATACAAAATTTAATAAATGAAGTGTTTTATTTAAAAGCATTTAGTGTATAAGTATGATGTCTGTTACTGTTGTTGTTGTTTTGTCACTTATTAGATATTATTATTGGACATGGGACTTTCCCAGAAATATGTCAATCTGAACAATACATATATAGCAAGTAGTCCAACTTGCATTACTACATTCGTTAACCAACAGTGACACAAATACAGACATATCAGTTAGGGGCATGAATTACACATTCATGTCTGGCTGCAGGTGTTACACATTTTGTTGGTAACTTATCAGATGAGCGCGGTTATAAAACAACTGAAATATTCTGCGTTTAAAATACCGGGCTGGGATTGGACTGGTATGAAGACGCATACTTAATTTTTATGGAGCATTACAAGAAATCATCTGACCTAAATTTGAATAAAACTGTTTGTATATTCAGCAATGGATCCCCCTAGGCAACATATTAGTTTCCTTTATTTTGTAAAATGTAGCATTGTGATGGTTTTATACTCTTATTTTATTATTTTGTAATCAAACCTTTTCCGAGTTTACATAAAGCAATTGTGAAATCTAATATACTCACATTTTATTACATTCTTCCTTCTGCAAATAAAATAGTTATAGCAAACCAATTTATACATAATTATATATATACATACTTCTAAAAATTATAGTAGTCATAATAGCAGAAGTGAAAAATATTTGCATCCTGGCTTTGACCTCATTTGGGAAAAAGTTCATATTATGCCCTGAAGAGCTAATCGAATGGAGTCTATACTCGTGATCGTGATTGTATTTCTTTCGCATCGTTTATTGAACATGCAGGCCCCTAGCTAGACGCCTACTTATGGTAATCATGAATATAAATATGCATAAGACTTCTTTTGCCAGCCGCATACTCTTGAGCAGCTGCAGTCGCTGCACTCCTTGGATATGCGCACAGGGTATAAAGGGCCCAAATTAAAACGAATATATAATACAATGGAGCTTTTTCTTTTCTTTCGAGGCATAGTTGAAATATTTACGTTTTTCAATTAAGACTAATTTGTTCTACAAATTGGATAGTGAAAGTTTTTTAACTCGCGACAATTCCAAAAGAGTTCGAAGCGGCTACTGCACGTATCGAGCAATCTGACAAACACGTACTGGGTATGCAGCGCTTTCTTGCATACTTAAGTGAGTCCGCACCGAAAACTAAATAATCATTTATACATGCCAATCCCTCAACTGAATGTATTTGTGTGTGTGTATGTGTGCGCAGTATCGACCCCAAACTCTTACATCCGTGGTTTAAAACATACTACTCGCCATACGCAACGTTCATTTCGGTTTTGGTTACGACTCCACGCATTTCTTAGCTCTCAGTGCACAAAAAATCAAAAATGAAACGGAATTTCGTGATATTATTCGGGTTTGTGCTCTGCACAGGTGCATGGGATATCTCCGCAGGGCAGGATACCTATACGGATGCGTTGCAAAACTCACATAACACAGATCATGGTGTGTGAATCTTACATAACTGTGGCTTAAAGAAACAAGCATTCATAGAAAGCACGAAAACGGTGAACTATTTCAAAATTAAAAGTGAAAACCTCTACCTTAAGCTCAGTTGTGTTTGAAAGTGAAATTGGTGTATGAAAGTGCATTAAAATGTTTTTAAACGACTTTCAGTTATATCAAGTATCAAACCTTACAGAAAATATCAAAACTGATAAGACATATGTCTAATACTCGATGTGCTTCGCAACAAATTTATGCGAAAATAACATACATAATATGTATTTACCTTCTAAAGTGTTCTTTATTTATTTATTCGTTATTTAATTGTTCTTTCTTTATATAGACTCATGCTTATACATTTTAAATACACATATCCTAATCTATTGTATTTCCATTATTATTTTATTAGATGGTCTTGGCGGGGGCTATCAATATAACCCGCCACCAGATAATAGCTATTTGCCCCCAGATAATAGCTATTTGCCTCCAGCGCCGACACCGCAGGCTCCAGTCTACGGTCCACCGCCCGTCCCATTCTATAACTCCCCCCCGCCAGTGTACTATAAGCCCGCTCATCCAATACCATATCAGGCGCACGATTCAATTTTAGCGAAACTCAAGTCTAAAATAAGTCTACTAACTCTCGGCAAGATCGTCTTGAAACTCTTAATATTCAAGAAGATAGTCAAATTTATCGGCATCATTTGCTTGCTACTCGTTTTGCCCAAGCTGAAGCATATGTTCACAGATAATATGTCTATGGAAGACGAAATCAACAGCAAGCACGTGGAAACGGATAAGGGTAAGGCTTAAGAGATGAGCGTCCATTTAAATAAATATATATATATTATAATAAATATCTTATTTCCAGAAAAACTTCAAAAACACATTGATAGTGTGTATGATTTTATAATGAGCTCCATTCAAGCCTTTGAGGAAGAAACTACATAACAGTTTGACAATAGTTTTAGATTTGTATCTGCAAGAGTATTATTTATTTATTTATTGTAAATTTGTTATGTTTTTTAAAATGAAATGCCTATTTATGTAAACAAATAAAAAAAAATCAAGTGAAATACTTATATGGGAAACATTTATTCGCTAGCCCTAATGAATCCAACTAGCAATTAGCAATACAGAATCAACATTTCAAGACATAATATATGTACGAGATAAATTTTAATAAACAAAAACAAACAAAAAAACATGTATTGGAAAGTTTTAACAGAAGTAATTCAAGACAAATATGTTTGAAGTAATACTTAATTTCTGGTACATGAAAGTTAATTTGTATGATGATTTTAGTAATCATTTCGACAATTTCAAAGAACAAACTCAATCAATATTTATATTTAAATTCCATTCGGAACAAGTATTGTATATTGACCTGGGCAATGTCATACACAATAAACTCGTTGTACAACAACGAAGACTTCAATTTATCATCGGTAATGGGCTTTCCCAAAGGTATTTCAACTCCATCATCTCGAAAATGCGACTCTTTGGGATCGGGCATCGTGCGACCGTGGCCAAAGCAGCTGTGTTTGCCCTTGGGCAGCTCGGTTACATACTTGGCAGTAGTGCATTCCATCATGTCGCCCAAGGCCACTTCGGAGAGCATCATAAGACCAGTAGAGTTCTGTTGACTGGTGCAACAATAATTGGCCGACTTGGACACCATGTCTGCGAAATAAATACCCTTGCCAAACATATAGCCGGTCGGTGGGGCTTCGGGCGGCGCGATTTTCAAGCCGTGGGACAAAATTCCCACAAAGTTCGTCAGGCGCGAACCGTGCCAAAGCAATTTTCGATTATGTAGTTTCTTGAATGGCTTATACCGACGAGCTTCACCTTGACGGGCCACCTTAAAGACGTCAACTATTTCCAGCTCGTATGAACTATGTGTAGATGCATGCGTATTCTGCACGTAATTTTTGAGTAGCTTAAACTCGTCACTCTTTTTATCGATCGGCTCCAGTTGTGTTTTCAACTTATCGTAATGCTTATCTAAGGGATTCTTTTCCTCCGAGGTATCTTCGTGCTTTATTAAATTGTAAGCAATCTCAATCTCAGACAACGAATCCAACATTTGCCTTAAATTCTCCACCTGTTCTACGGTTTCAATCAACGGTGGCGCATGGACTCCGAAGCAGTGAGGAATCAATGTGTAGAACCGATTAGTGGCATCAATAAATCTAGCATTGGACCCGCTTTGTTGAATCAACTCATAAATTTCATTGACAACAGTATACGCTGACTGAATCTGCTTCAAGCTTAGTTTGCCCAATGGCATTTTTTCCATATCTATGTGAAATTCCATCATTGTTTTCTTCATAGTGTCGACATCGAATATAAGCTGTATTAATTTCTGTACCGCAGGATCCAATTTAGATGGAATATTATCATGCTTGGATTGTTTTAATTCGTCATCCGCATCGTATTGAACATCAATCGGATACATTCGACCCGGCTTTTTGACAAAATTATTCCTGTTTCTAAAATCATTGCCTGTCTTATCTGCATACACATCGTAAAAACATTGCTTGGCATCGATTACTGAATGGAAATCCTCCAGTTTTGAGTTGCCAATAGTTGTGCCAATGCGACCCCAAGACCGATAGACCCAATATCTATAAATAATAATTATGAAAGGTATTTTAGATACTAGTCTAGAAATGCAATAATTCAATAACTTACTTATTTTTCGTGTCGGCCTCCAAAAGTTGTAGTTTATAAAACGAATTCTTGTTTCTTTGTATGTCTGTTAAGCCAAGTACAACGTTATATTTATCGTCGTCTTTGACATAGACGTGCGCAACATTTTCCAGACCACTTCCGGGGTCAACTACCAGTCCGTTCTTCATTTTAAGAGTAACCGACTTTGGTACCGACTTTGTGTAAATACTCTTTGACTTCGAGCTCTTTATTTCATCTTGAGGCAATCGGACGGCTGGGTCTGTTCCCCAGTCACAAAGGGTCATACTACTAATAAAGTTAAGAGCGCCACTGCTATCAGACTCGACACAATCAAGGTACTTCATAGGAACTATGTGTATGCCAAGCTCTTTCGCTTTAGTTATACGAGAGCTCAACTTCTTTACTTCTTTTTCTGTGGAAATCACAGCAATAGTGCCGTCTGTGATTTTGCTATCACATTTGCCGCCCAGCTTAGCAATTCGCTTTTTAATTTCCGCCTCTTCTTCCTTTAAGCCCACAACTGAGAATTTAAAGTTGTATAACGGTGGCTTTTCGCGTTTAACTTTAGGACTGCAATAAAAACGAAAGTGATGAATCAGATGAATCGGCAAATCTTCAAATATATGGATGTGTGAGTGTTTTGAGACAAATACATATTTGTGAAGAGACTTTACGTATTTGTTGTACTTAAAGGCGTGCAGAGACAAACATTAAAATAATAATTATACTTTGGTAAAACATATAAATAATTTCATAATTGCCAGAGTTCTTACCCGTCAAGTTCATCTGGATTTTTCTTTATGGCAATGTCTTTAGCAATAGTTGCTGCACTTGGAGGAACGTACTGAATAATACGCGTTTCAGGTTTTCTTTTGTAGGAGCTCAAAAAACTATACTCGGACTTCAATTCATCTGGTATTTTGGATGCAGTACGTTTGGGTTCGGTTAATAGCTGCGTACATTTGGTCCATTCAGATATATTTCCATTGCAAGAATAGCCTGATTTGTTGAATATGAATTGAGTACTCCCGCACTCTGGACAGGGCTTTATAGCGCCAAAGGCCAGTAGATCTGCTGCTTGATCTAACAGCTTTTCCGAGTCACCAGGAATGGGCTCCTGTTTATTATATGTCAATAACATCTCAATATCGTGCTTTTTCATTTCTTTCTTTATATTATCCCGATATTTAAAGAGAACATCATTTTGTTTTTGTAGTTTCTTCAACTTTTCCTTTTCTTCGGCTTCTATATTTGGCTCCAGCTTTGGTTTCTTTACTTCTGGCATATCTTCAGATTTAATCACTCTGTAAATTATTTAATTAAAATAAATATTGGTTTAAAATTAATTTTTCCTAAATTTATGATATATACGTATATTAATATCGTTTTACTCACGGTAGAGTCTTTAAGACTTGCTCCCTATCCTCCTTTTTCAAAGATTTATATCCGGGCAGATTTTCACCACTATCAAACCACCCGATTTCGGTACGTATTTGGGCGAAGCACTCCAAATGATGCCAAATCTTTTGGCCACCGTATTTCATTCCAACTTCAGTATCATAAACGGTTTTGGACACCCTAATTTCGTCCTTGTTTATTTTTAGTTCACAACCACGACACCCTGCGCGACTTGACTTTGAGTACTCAATACTGAAATCTTTAAGTGCAGCCTGCTCGGCCTTCGAACGCTTGCCCGATTTGCTGGCAACAACTACTGGACCAGAACCTGAAAACGATGGATTGATTATAGCTCCACTTTATCCTAAAACATTGAGTAAACCAACCAATCATATCTTTAATTTCAGTTTGGTCTGCAAATCGCAAATTTTCAAAGTTTTTAATATCCCCCACAGAAGCCGGCTTTTGCTTCTTAAAAAAGCAATCCTTGTGAAACCAATTTGGCGTTTTTCCATCATGAAAGGCGGACTAAAAATAGAAAGATACAAGTTGTAAGCAATATTAAAATCTTTTAAGCCTATCACAAAATTAATTTCAGGCAATGGATATCAAATGGGCCTATTGAATTTGACACTTGGTCAACCAAGCTACATATTGTAGCTAACTTAAGCTTAATATATGTACATTTAAGCTATTTCTACAAAAATTTTTTAAAAATATTGTGTTGATTCCTAAACGGAGCTTCAAGTTGCCAATAGGGTTTTTCTGACACAATGAACGAATTCCGTGCATTTACTTTAACACTTTACCATTGAAACAGGAAAATGCATTTACTAGTAAGCCGACTGATTACGATATTATCAGTCGAAGATAATTATTTCGTCAATATATTGTTAATAATTAATAAACCAATAATCGATCGATCAACTCAAGATCTCAGTAAAATTGTTATTGCGTTGCCGCGTAGTTTACTAAAAATGTATTGATATCATTCCTACACTATTTACTACCACAAATATAAATCGCTAGATATGTAGTTTATGAAATATTGCTGCAATTCCCAGCAGATTAAATAGACTAGTTTTAATTTATATTATTATATTAGTAAATTATTCCAAACCGCACTAGCAAATAACTACAAGTATCAACTTACCTGAACCATTACGGCAATCCTTACAACATCCTTTGCTATGGGAGTTTTGCATCCTTTACAAGAAGCTCGACCGCTTTTTGAATATTCTACCATGTAGGGCAACTCGACATCCATTTTTCAAGTTTATTTTTTAAAGTGTAAGTAATGTATTTCGCCACAAGCAAATTTAACCGCTAAATCCTCTAATGAAACGCCAACTTTGATATCGATATATTTTATACAACTCTTCCATCGATACAATGAATGAATGAACATAGTTTTCTTTTGAAACTACGGAATAAAACAATATCATAATATACAAGAATCGTTTAAGCTCTCTTTCACTTCTACCACTCTGATTAGCTCTATTACTCTTTTACTGCTATATATATATACATAACTGTAACTTCATTAGCCCATTAAGTTAACTTAATTATTTATTAATTTTATATATTAAAACCTTACAAACAACAAAATAAATTGGTTTTAAGACAATATATATAAATATATATTTCAGTTATAAACATGATGCGAATATGACAATTGGGTTTTAGCCAAGGGATGAAACCTACAAACAGTATATAAAAATGTAGACGCCGTTTTTAAATCTTAGTGGCTCATACTGTCATCTTTCCACCAAGAAAAGATTACATACTTCGACAGCTTAGTTGAATTTTGGTCAATTTATATATTTTACAATGAGTAGCTATAAGTAAATTATAAATTTATAACTGCCTTATAAACGGTAATATGTGATATTTCAAAAAAAAAAAAGGATTGATATATATATTCATATTTTATTTTATCAATATTTATTTTTATATCAGCAATTTTAATGAAACATTAATTAGTCAAGGTAACAGAAAGCTTTAATTTTATTTTTAATTTTTGGACATTCCCTAATCTATCGTTGATTTACAAGAGATATATCGATGTATGAACTTATCGATGTATTTTTAGTGCAAGTATAAAAATCCAATATTTGGAAATTGATCCCATACAATTACTAAAGGCATTATTTTGAGGCTTATAAGTATATAATTAAGTATAACACGTAATTTCCGCAACAGTAAAATGACCGAAATTTGTGAACCGCTGACCCTGGCCAGAGGTAGATTTATTCTTTGCCCAGATAATATACACATTGATTCTAAATATAAAGCAATTCTTTTTCAGACGTCAAGAGGTCTATAGAGCTATTAGAAAAACTTCAGGCCAGCGGGGACTTTCCCACAACTAAATTGGCTGCTCTACAAAAAGTTCTTAATTCTGATTTCTTGAACTCTGTGCGTGAAGTTTATGAACATGTTTATGAAACTGTTGATATACAAGGCTCACACGATGTTAGGGCGTCTGCAACAGCTAAAGCAACTGTGGCTGCCTTTGCTGCCAGCGAAGGCCATGCCCATCCTCGAGTGGTTGAATTGCCTAAAACTGAGGAAGGTATGTACATACAGACATATGTTTGCGTGTGTAAATGTGTTCACCTAAGATGGAGATTGCACCAATTTTTCGTAAATCATACATTGTACATATATCGTATTATATACATATACTAAATATTAAATCAAAACAAGCTCTGTGAATATCAAATTGATTATTGAGAACAATATACAATTTTTTAGTGATTCAACGATAGATTCATGTTCATAATAAATAAATCATTTAACTGTAATCTATTTTTGTTTCAGGCTTGGGCTTCAATGTGATGGGAGGCAAGGAACAGAATTCTCCCATTTATATCTCTCGAATCATCCCAGGCGGTGTTGCTGATAGACATGGAGGATTGAAAAGAGGAGATCAGCTACTTTCCGTTAACGGAGTGGTAAGATAACTATAATTAAAGAACTTAGCATAGCTATATATATTTGTCAAGGTCATATCTAATGAAAGTTAATATGTTAATATTCATAGGATTAAAATTATGATTTTGATTATGATTATGATTTTAAGTATTGTTTCTGGGGGAGTGACTAGAAGGCTTAGAAGTTTCAACGTAGAACTAATAGATGGCAAGTTCATTTGATATTTCTGCTTTTGTCCTTTTTATTACAATTTTGTAGGGCTTAGCAGATACAAATATCCAACTATTTTTTACGTCCATTTATGTGTTTAACAACTGTGTTTAGTAACTAAAGCTTTTTATATTCTACATTTCAGTCAGTTGAAGGCGAAAATCACGAGAGAGCGGTTGAGTTATTGAAGCAAGCGGTTGGCTCCGTAAAGCTTGTTGTACGCTATACGCCTAAAGTTCTTGAAGAAATGGAAATGCGTTTCGACAAACAACGTAATACGCGTCGTCGTCAATAAAACTTAAAAATTATGTATTAATTTAACGAATATTATAATATGATTTATGAATCTCATTCAAATGATAAAATTCGTTCGGCCACTACGAGGGCTATTATAGAGTGAATGGATCGCATTAATTTTAATGTTTGCGAGTATTTCGACAGAATGGAATGCTTAAAATTCATAGATTATTCGCTTTATTTCTTCGCGAATATTTTAATATATTGTTTCCCTTTTAAAGCAGTTTTTTTGGTGCCTAATATTTTATTAGTTGAAATACAAAACGTGGAAAATAATTATTGAAAACAAATGCCTGTTGATGGCACTATATAGTGGATCCGATAACTGTAAACTTTACCAAGTTATATCCCGTCAAAAACGTACACTAGCTACATATAGCCTGAGTACAGACCCTAACCAGTGGTTAGTGGTACAGAACAATGAAAGTAGACAGAAAAGATGTTTATGGAAATAAAATTTGAAATTCAGTGGAACGACGTAATGTCGCTTACTAAATTTATGTTGTTCATCGTATAACTATAAATAAGCAAAGTTTCACTTTC